AAAAAAAAAAAAAAAAAAAAAGGGCTAAAAAAAATAGGGTCCCCACCAACGGGCACGCTCTGCCCGTGACCAAAGGGCCCACGGGCCCACGGGCCCGCCACGGGCCCGCCACATGCTCACGGGCCCACGGGCTCACGGGCCCACGGGCCCACGGGCCCGACCCCCGAAAAGACCATGGCCGAGGCAGCTGAACTTCGAGCCCGGCAGGTGCAAACTGTCGAAGGCTCAGGGGTTAAGGGATAAGCGGTTTGGGGCGTTTTAGGGTTTTCTGGGTTTGGGGTTTAGGGGTGTAGGGGTTTGGTTTTTTTTTGGGTTTTTTTTGGCTTAGGGGTTTCGGGGTTTAGGGGTTTCGGGTTTGGGGTGCAGTGCCCCTGCTCCTCATTTAGCCGTACTCGCTCTCCCAGCTGTCACTGCTGCTGTCGAAGTCTTCGTCGTAATTAGCAAGTAAACAAGCAGATGACCAAAAGGGCTAGACAACATTTCCGAGACCTGGACCTAAACCCATGCTGTACTTCAACCCGCCGCACACGCCTGGTGGCTGCTTGGCGACGGCAGCGTTGTGCCACGTAGCTTTGCCTGGTCAGGGCAGCAAGGGATGGTGATCCGGTGCATTTCAGACAACTAGTCCAACGCAGGGGGTTTAGGGTTTAATGATCCAATTGATTATCGGGGGTCGGGTGTAATTTAGTTCGTCACCCGCTCAGAACCATTCGTATCGGCAACCATGAGCACTGTCGGCACAGGTACTTCAGAATACGTTAGTAAGGATCTTTCCTTTGGCTTTGGATGTAAGTTTAGGCTTTATATAGTCTCACGTTTGGGGTTTGGACCCAGTCGCTCGGCACGATCAAAAAGCGCACATCACCACACATTGAGCCTGGCCTTCTTCTTATTTAGTTTTAAGCCCTGAAAACGAAATTTCGAAAGCTCCAACCCGACCCCTGAAACCCCAAAGCCTCAAATCCAAACCCTAAAACCCACCTAAACCCAGAACCCCAAATTGTACGGCCAGAAGAACCCTTTCATAGAACCAGAGCCCTGGACCAGCAACCCGGAACCCCAAATCCTAAACGATCCTAAACCCCTAAACCTCCAAACCCCAGCCTAAAAATAAGGGGTTTAGGGTTAGGGGTTTAGGGAACCCTAAACCCCTAAACCGCCTAAACCCCAAAGCCCCAAGCCCTCTTGTAAACCCACCTCCGTGCTCAGCGCGACGCGGAGATCGAACGTCGGCCCATTTGTGGGAACCGAGCGGCCGGCGAAGAGATCCAGTGCTGAGCGATGCTTCGGGCTCCCCTAAGGGCTCCTAAACCCTAAACACATCCTTAAACTAGGGGTTTAGGGTTCAGGGTGTTTAGGGTTTCGGGTTTAGGGTGTTTAGGGTTTAGGGTTCCCGTTTTAGGGTCTGGTTCTGGATTTCGGTTTAGGGTTTAGGGTTTAGGGCTTACCTAGACCCCCCAACTACCCTCTATTCTCCCCCAAAATACCCACTGTTAAGGAGCACAAGGTCTCTATTAAAGGGCCATTGGGGGGTCCTGGTAAGGGTGCCTCTAAGTGTTGCTTTAATGTTCCAGGGGGATTAGTTTCGGGCTTGGGCATAAGGGTTTCCTGAATGGTTCAGAAGGAAGACTTCCTCACGGCTGCCTGGCAGCCCTTTTGGGGTTCCATGAGGGTTCTAAACCCTAAACCCTAAACCCTAAACCCTAAACCCAGTTTCCGCAAAGTGTTTGGGACTTCGGGGTGCCGGGTTGAGCGCATGTCTGGGATTCGGGCTCCCTTATGAGGGGACCCCAGTGTACAAGCCCATAGTGGGTCTAGGGTTTAGGGTTTAGGGTTGGGTTCGGGTTTAGGGTTTAGGGTTTAGGGTTTAGGGTTTAGGGTTTAGGGTTTAGGGTTTAGGGTTTAGGGTTTAGGGTTCAGGGTTTAGGGTTTAGGGTTTATAGTACCCATTAAACCAAGAAGCCCCACAGCCTTGGACACGACGGAAAAAAAAAACAACCGTTTTCCTCCCTACCCAAAAGATGGGACAAAAACACAAAACAAGAACATGTAGACCGTATCAGGAAGAACCATGTAAGAAGAATAACAACAAAGCAATAATAACAAATAGCAGCCAAAGAAAGAACAGGTGCCACAGCCGAGATTTCTCCTCGCCTTAAACTAACAACTTCACAACCACATCAAAGGCAACAGTATTCAGCAATCAAGAGTCCTAAACCCAATAACCCTTGTTCGTAAACTCTAGTCTTTCTTCCTGAACCCTAACCCGCTTCTACCTAAACCTTTAATCCCAAAACCCGATGCCCCAAAAACCTCACAAACACCCAACATTCTAAACCCAGCCGAGGTTCCTTCTCGCATAGATCTTAAACCCTAAACCCCATGCAGACCCTACACTTTTTTGAACAGCTCTTTAAACCTCAAAAAACCCTGAACTAACCCCCTATTTGAAAACCCTGCGGAAACCCTAAACGTTGCGAAATCCGGTACAAACCCTAAACCCTATACACACCCTACATAAACCCCAAAAAAGCCCTATGTAGACCCTGAAATTCAACCCAACCGAGGTGCCTTCTCGCCTAGACCTTACACCCTAAACCCTATGTAGACCCTACACCCTTTTTTGAACAGCATTTGCACTTATAACGTAAGCCCAGCCCAGCCTCCTTCTCGTCTAGACCTTAAAGCCTAAATCCTATATAACCCTATAGAAACCCTACAGAACCCAACTCCAAACTTAAACCCTAAACCCTAAACACCAAACCCTAAACCCCAAACCCTAAACTTTAAACCCTAAACCCCAAACCCTAAACCCTAAACCCTAAGCCGAGGCTCCTTCTCGCCTAGACTTCACCATGGCCACCGGGTTCACCCAGCGCCTTTGCCCGGTCTCGGCATCTTCGGAGAGCGTGTGGGAGACGCGGATCTGGCCTTG